AGTAACAAGGAAAGATTTGTAAAAAAATTGTTAACTATTTAAAAACTCTTGCCATCAAGTACTATTCGAAATTACTTCAGCGTTGAACCACGAGAGTAACAAGGAAAGATTTGTAAAAAATCTGTTATTTTTATGCAACTTTTAGCCATTAGGTTTGGAAAGAATAATTGTGAAGTTCGACATGGCTCGAAGCCTCCAGTAGCACGGCGGTATGTCTGCGGACTTACAACGCTAGAATCCGCGTTTCGATACCCGGGGTGGGCAGAGCACAGATAGTCCCTTGTGTAGCTTCGTGCTTACGTACAACAAACAAACAACTCGTAGCTTCTTGTTATTTTACAAACGTTGTAAAATAAAACACTGCGCCATCTTTAGACGCACGTAATTTCATTTGAGCTCAATAAAAACACCATAGTCTCTGTGTTTCCTTTTCTCAGTTTTTAGTGTTATATATGCGTACTTAAAGGCACTTTATGTCCTCCTGGTGGGACAGGGGTAAGTTTACGGACTACGAAGTTCGATTCCCCCACGTTGAACACAACAGAGAGCCCAATGTAAAAATACAAACAAATACATTCTATAAGTTTGTTTGTTTGTTTTGAATTTCGCGCAAAGCTACACGAGGGCTATCTGCGCTAGCCGTCCCTAATTTAGCAGTGTAAGACTAGAGGGAAGGCAGCTAGTCATCACCACCCACCGCCAACTCTTGGGCTACTCTTTTACCAACGAATAGTGGGATTGGCTGTCACGTTATAACGCTTCCACGGCTGAAAGGGCGAGCACGTTTGGTGTGACTGGGATTCGAACCCGCGACCCTCAGATTGCGAGTCGAGTGCCGTAACCACCTGGCCATGCCGGGCCCATTCTATAAGAATGATAATCTAGATCTTGGATTGCCCCCTCGAACTCCTTTAACATCATTTATAACCAACTTGATGGTCACTACTGCAGATATAGCAGTTCCATAGATATCAGCTTTTGTTAAAATTAATGAGGTCAGTCTTAGACCACACACACATCCTGAAAACTCCCCACAAATCGTCCAATGTACGTTAATGTGGGCTTCCAAGCCAAACCAAGCATAGAGAAGCCGATATGTGCGCAGTCAGACGACTCCACAGGTGTGTTGGAAAAGGGGGAAGTATGAACACCGGTTTATTTTCCACGATTTGTAGAAAGTATGCTGTTTTCTTTGACCAAACAGTGCAGGAATCTTATTTGACATAACTGGTGCAGATACGTTCTCCAGTCTTTAATTGAAATTCACGTTTGCTTTACAGTACACCTGTTGCCTCGGGAATAACCCAAGGCAACTATAAGGTCAGAGAAAAACTTCCTTTCAACTCTCTGTACTCAGTTTCTAAGTTCATAATTTTCTACGTTATGGTCTGTTTGTAATCATTCAAGTACTCCTAAGCCTAGTCTAACGTTTAGCACACTTCCATCTCTTAAATGTAAGGTATGTTTCACCAGTGTGTCTAGAATGAAGCTTGCGCACTCGTGGTTCATGATTTTCTACATTATGGTCTGTTTGTAATCATTCAAGTACTCCTAAGCCTAGTCTAACGTTTAGCATACTTCCATCTCTTAAATGTAAGGTATGTTTCACCAGTGTGTCTAGAATGAAGCTTGCGCACTCGTGGTTCATGATTTTCTAAAATAATAAGATCTTTGTGGATTATCGTATGAACAGTTGGTTGGTATAAGTGCGGCAGTGGAGACACCTGAAAGATCACTACGGGTGTACTAATTATCTTAACATGGTAGTAGTAAGTACACGTGCGAGGGGTTGCTTACCTTCCATTGCCTCGAGCTCTTTGCTCGAGGCACTGTTGAACATTTTTTCTTGGAAGAAGATCCATCCATAAGTTATTGGAGGTATTGCACTGTCGAGTGGACGCGAATTCGCCGCGAACAAAATATATCGGTGCCTTTGAGTGACGTGCCCATGCTTTTACCCCTCCCCCATAATTCCACTGTATATAAACAATTTATGTTGATTTGCATAATTAGTTTATGTATCACGTGCGTTCGCAGTTTTCTCGAAAATTATCATCCAAACGCATTCTGTAAATCTTCGCGTCAGATGCAGTAGAACTTGACCGTATCTTCTTATATTGATCATATTTCACCTTTTATTATTAAGTTCGGATCAGAAGATGCTACGTACTCAGATCAAAAATAGAAATAAAAATATCATAAAGTTTAAAATGTATCGTTTCGTCAGTTGGGTAGTAACGCTGTTGTTTAATGTACAGGGAGGGGTAAAAGTTACTGTACATTTGGTATAGTTGGTCTTATGCGGTTGGTACAAAAAAGAATTGGTTTGGTTTGAATTTCGCTCAAAGCTACACGAGGGCTATCAGCGCTAGCCGTCCCTAATTTAGCAATGTAAGACTAGAGGGAAGGCAGCTAGTCATCACCACCCACCGCCAACTCTTGGGCTACTCTTTTACCAACGAATAGTGGGATTGACCGTCACAATTATAACGCCCCCACGGCTGAAAGGGCTAGCATGTTTGGTGTGACGGAGATTCAAACCCGCGACCCGCAGATTGTGAGTCGAGCGCTCCCTAACCACCTGGCCATGCCGGGCCGAAAGAAGAAATGAAACCAACTTGATGTTTGTTTCAGAGTAAGACGTCAGAAATAAATCAACGTTCGAAATGAAACAACTGTATGTTCATTTTTGTCTCGCCCTGTACATCTCTGATTATCCACTGACGTGTAGTGTTATGGAGTACCGAGTGATTACTTCTTCATTTATAACATTAAAGTATAAATAATAATAATAATGTTTTCCTGTTTGACAACTTACCTTGAAGCTTCATTCAGGGTTAAAGAGTATTTATTTCAAATGATAAGATCGAACGAACCACTAAAATAGTGATATGCAGTAGGAACATTTACTTGTGAAGACGCTATTTCTAATTTCATCCGGAAATCTCCTTGACTTTACTGGCAAACTGACGTCTTTCGACATCAAAATAGAACTCTGTTTGATCAGTTTCCTCTCCTAACCCTTGGATACCCAATATTACCATCAGTTTACATGCTGCAATCTTTTCGACCATTAAAGTTCGTTTTGATCCTTTCTGTATAAGAGACAGAAATGCGATACTTTTTTTTTCCTCAAGAATTTGCATTGTGTAGATGAAGTAGAAGAGTTTACTTGAACGTTGAGGAAGATGAAGTTGAGCTACTTGAGTTACCAGGGAAATATTATCTATGAGTCTCTAAAATACAAAACTGTACTTCTACTGCACGTGTCTGACAATTTTCGTCTGGACTTTTCCTTCTCGAGTATCGCTGCAAAAAAAAAAATGTTAATTCCTGGCGCCGAGCCAGCGTCGACATTCAGTGAAACGTAACGAAAACGGTAGGAGACAGACAGCTAGTGTACATAGGGCCGGAGTTTGGATTTGTTGGGTAAGATGCTGTAGGAGTCTGCAGGTCTACCGCGGGGGTGGCTTATCTGTGACTCACTGTGTATCTTGTCAGCGCTCAAGAAAACGTTCATCATTCTTGTATCACAAATCAAGACATGTGGAATGATTAGACAACTTCATTACACGGTATAAGTCTTGTTCTGTAAAGTATAACAGGAATTACTCTGTTAAAATATAACCTTTTGACATGTCGAAGTGGAATTATTTATCGTAGACGTTAAAAGATAGAGAATAAACAATATAACAAAATCGTAGTATTTATTAATTCCGTTGGAATTTTGATATCGTTTCGGGGCATGTTAAGAATCGTAATGATATCGTTTCGGGGCATGTTTATATCAATCAAACATGTCAAATTTGCTTTTCACAATCGAATGAAACTTATAATAAAGTGGTGATAAATATACAAGCTACGTTTCAGTTCTAATCCGTATGGTTTAACTTTTTAAACAAAAATTTTGATACTGGATCTCTAGCCCAACTTAAATGCGGAAGAAAAAAATTGTCCAATCTTAGACTGGTTTACGTTATTCCATTCGTGACGTGGTATTTTTCGTAATTTTACACCTTTCACGAGGAATTAGAGGAATGAGCCATATAGTTAATTAAAGGTCTGACATCTGACATTGAAAACTTAGCCTGTTTTGGAATCTTAATCTCGAAAGAAGAAACGTCAGCGATGTAATATTCCTTTCAATTAGTAAAATTACTGGTTTTTCACGCTGTTTTGTTGTTGGTTCACTTAGCTGACAGTTGTGCAAGAGAGTCAGATATTACCAAATAATTTTGTTGTTGTTGTTGTTGTTTTTAATGCAGATTACTCAACGCAAACAAGATTGGTTGATTCGTTTTATTTTACTTGATGCAGATTATTCAACACAAACTAGATTGGTTGATCCATTTTATTTTACTTAATGCAAATTACTCAACGCAAACAATATTGGTTGATCCGTGTTTTTTGTTGTTTTTTTACTGCAGATTACTCAACCAACAAAAGACACTGATCAAACAATCTTGTTTGTTGAGTAATCTGCATTAAAAAACAACAAAAAACACTGATCAAACAATCTTGTTTGGGTTGAGTAATCTCCATTAAAAAACCCCAAACAAGATTGGTTGATCAGTGTTTTTTGTCGTTTTTTCAATGCAGATTACTCAACCCAAACAAGATTGTTTGATCAGTGTTTTTTGTTGTTTTTTAATGTAGATTACTCAACCCAAACAAGATTGTTTGATCAGTGTTTTTTGTTGTTTTTAATGCAGATTACTCAACCCAAACAAGATTGATTGATCAGTGTTTTTTGTCGTTTTTTCAATGCAGATTACTCAACCCAAACAAGATTGTTTGATCCGTGTTCTTTGTTTTTTTTAATATAGATTACTCAACCCAAACAAGATTGTTTGATCAGTGTCTTTTGTTGTTTTTTAAATGCAGATTACTCAACGCAAACAAGATTGGTTGTATCCGTGTTCTTTGTTGTTTTTTAATGCAGATTACTCAACCCAAACAAGATTGTTTGATCAGTGTCTTTTGTTGTTTTTTTAATGCAGATTACTCAACGCAAACAAGATTGGTTGTATTCGAAGAGACGCCTTTGCTGATCTACACAACTTGAATCTGTTGTGAGTATAGAACCGGTTCTCTTACGATAATTTGTTTGATTTATACTACATTACTATTTGTATATTATGATCCATTATATAACTAATTTGTTTGGAACATCGATACAGTGTCTTGAAAAAAAAAAGGGTGGGTTATGGAATTAGATTTTTGGAAACCTAAATAATTGGACACAAAAGTGGGTCTCCGTTTCTAAAGCCACGCGTTATATCGGATTTCAAAATTTATTTTACCCCGCTAAAACATTTGGCCTAATTTTCGAGTTCGACGTTCCGAGATGTAATTTATCACTCCGTACCACTAGGACTTTCATTAAATTTTAACAGACTAACGAACAAGAAGCAACATGTTCTCTAGACACATCGTTCAAAAATATTTCAGAAACAGCTATCAAGGTCATCATCTAAAAATGTGATCTCTTGTGTGTGTGTGCGAAACAGAATCGCCTGGAGAAAAATACACAACTACTCTTTTCTCTCTCTCTCTCTCTCTTTCTATCATTCACAATTTTATTCACTAGCTCGAAATTGATTTGATAAAATGGTTCCGACGGTTATTTTTTTTTTTTACCTAGTACTTTTTTTTTTTTTCGTCAACTCACACTTAATATTTTGGATAGAAAATTCATGTAATTTTACATTCCACCAAGGTCGTAAAGATGAAAATGTTCGTGATTACAATGAGGCGGAGGTTTTACTCACGTCACAACGTGTCTATACTTCTTTAAGTCAGATAACACCATCAGAGATTTACATCGCCTACATTACGAGAGAAAATACATATTTACTTCCATAGGCCTTAGTTTGGAAACTTAAAATAATCGTTTTTTATAGCCCTAGGTTTCAGTTTTGTTTCACAATAAACATCTTATTACCAGCAAGTATCAACGTAAAGGAAAAACTGAAGTACAAAAATAAAATCGTCTCAACTGTAACTTCATCTTAGAATATGACCGACATTTTAATCTAGGTTTAGAAAATGACGGATTTATTGGAGGAGTGACAAGTAATTAGAACATTTACTTCTGCTTCATACAAGAAAAAGTATAAAGTAAAACATCCAATCTACAGTTATGCAATTAGCATGCTTTGTCTTTACACGAATATAAAAGTTAGGATTGATTTTAAGGTTTCCGTTTTTTTTTAGAGTTTGCGTAGGTCTACATATTTGTATGTTTTGTGTAAATCTAAATATTTTTTATGCTTAGCGTTGATGTAAATTCTTTGTAGGCTTTGCTTACATCAAAACGATTTTAAGTTTTGCTAAAATCAAGTTTTTTTTATGCTTTGCGTAAAAATACTCAATACGTAAAGCCTGCGTATTTAGGCTTTACACAGCTCAAAATATTTTTAGGCTTTGCTTACATCAAAATGATTCTAAGTTTTGGGTAAATCAAGTTGTTTTTTTTAAGATTTGGGTAGATTTAAATTTAGGTATTGAATTCAACCCAACCACAACCCCCTTTTTGACCTTCGTATAAATCTACAAATTTTTTTAGGCTTCTTATAAATTTGAGTGTTAATATTGATTTTAACGTTTCTTGGTATTTCATAATGAAGCACAATGGTAGCTTCTAATAACGGCTCTAGAGTTACCTGATCATTTCATTACGCATTTATTTAAGAAAGTGTTTGAATAATACGGTATTTTCAACCTGAATAGCACTTTATGTGACACATGGGCTAAACAGCCAAGTCAGTGACCCAACAGTTCAAGCACAACCATCCCTAAATTTGGAGGCCCGGCATGGCCATGTGGGTAGGACGCTCGACTCGCAATCTGCGAGTCGCGGGTTCGAATCCCCGTCGCACCAAATATGCTCGCCCTTTCAGCCGCGAGGGCGTTATAACGTGACGGTCAATCCCACTATTTGTTAGTAAAAGAGTAGCCCAAGAGTTGGCGGTGGGTGGTGCTGACTAG